GATCCAAAACCTTCCTCCTTTTTTTCTAGTCATCAGTATGTGTGTTGCAACCTGGAGCATCCAATCTCAGTAATTCACCAAATCTCCCCTTTTTGTATTACACATTCCCCAGGCAGCCCTTTCACAAGTGACTCAGTTTTGAATATTGCTCTGTATTTGATAAACTGCTTTACAGACATGGTATCTCACTTGTGAATCAGGAGTCAGCTTGTGAGCAGGTGATGGAGGACAAATCAAACCGCTACTGTTTGTCTTCAGTCCAGGGCACTGTCCACGGCATGACCACAGCTGCGCACACCAGACACACCCCAGTCATGCATGGCCCATTTTTTCTGCCAAACTTGGGCCAGTTAATCATGGATAGTCAAACTTCCAAATTCCACCATCTTTACAACACAGATAGATCACCTCTCTTGCAACTACAAGGATAGTTTCTGAACGTGGGGGAAGAAACATTGACAGTCAAGGGGGATAGAAGGGTAATTCATGTAGGAAACTATCAAAATGAGGAAAACAGTGCCTGTGCCTGATTGTGAGAGACAATAAAAATACCCAAACTAGAGGAGGGGTAACATAGTGGCTAAAATCATGAACAACCAGAAAGAGTCTGAAATCAGAGTGGGGTTCAAATCCTGATTGCTAGTCACTTCCTTAGTGACCTTGAGCAAGCCACTTCCCCTCTGTAAGCCTTAGTCTCCTCTTAACAACACGTGCCTCACAATCCCTTATTATCGGACTTAGTGGGATGCTTAGTGGAAGTGTGACATGGAATAATTTCTCAATATATATTGGTTATTATTATTAATTTTAATTCCTGATTCAGCCAAAGATCAATGCACAAATGTTTCATCCATAAAATCTTGTAAAATCATAAATTAGCCCGACAATTGAGCAGTGAGCTATGTCATGTTTTACACATATGAATTGATGGATTTTGAAAACAGCTATAACTAGCAGGTAAGGGAAGGTGACACTGAGATCGAAAAGCATCAACAGCTTCTCCTGAGGGTCTACAATATACTGGTCCCTCTTCTCAGGGATTTAAATGCATTATCTGACTAAACTCTTGTGAGAATGGGGACATTTGTGTCCAATAGTGCACATGAGGAAACTGAGGTTTAAAGACGTTTAGTGACTTATGACTAAAGTGTAAGCATTTATTTGTTCAATGAATCAATATATTAATATATAATGTTGTGCTAGGCCAATGTGCATTCAACCTGTGTCAAAGAGTATGCTGCCTCTAAAGAAAGGATTTTATATACTTTAATGATTATAAATATGTTCCTTGTAGTGATTTTTATGGTAACCAAGAATATGTAAATAACCAATGTCTCAAAATGCATAAAAATCCCTATGTAATATGTCTATTCAAAAGGTATAGACAAATAAGCTGACTCTAAAAGTTGATTTAACGTACTTTTTGCATTCTTCTTTATTGAAGTATAGTCAGTTTACAATGTTGTGTCAATTTCTGGTGAACAGCATAATGTTTCAGTCATACATAAACATGTATATCTTCCTTTTCATATTCTTTTTCATTATGGGTTACTACAAGATACTGAATATAGTTCCCATGCTCTACAGAAGAAACTTGTTTATTTTATATACAGTAGTTAGTATCTGCTATGTTCCTTCAGTCTAAAGTACTTTTTGAAAGCACTTTGCTAATACAGAGGTTTTTGTAGCAGCAAGAAATAAAGGCTTTTTTATGTCTATTTCTGGGAAATTGGTTATGACTGAAAAATCACATATATCAACATGTGTCTCATAGATATTTGTGGATAAATACATGAAAGAGGGGTTTTTAAAACAGGAGTTGAATAGCCAGCAAAGGATGCCCATCCTGTACAAATGTGATTTAGGACAGGGGATTAAAGAAAGGAAAAACAACTACAAAACAGGGGAGACTTGCACACACTGATGATGACAGCAGCCCATGAGCGGAGGAGGAGGGCCCTCTCTCATTCTGTGCCCAGAGGAGGAAAATAACACTGTTGAACTGGATTCAGCATTCCTCCTAGATTTGCCCTGTTGGTTGTAGTGGCAAACCCTTATTTGTTTCCAAGACATGCAAAGATGAACTCTAGTGTTATACAACTGAATTTGCTTTGATAAGGAATGAGAGTCATGTGACTTAGCTATCTAAAATACTCCCATCCATACATCCCAGTCCCCTCCACCCCCATATACTGCTCTATTTTGTTAACAAAATTTATCCCTACCTGATATTATATTGCATATTTTCTTTGTTGATGACTTACCTTCCCAATACAACATGAGCTACCAAGAGGCAAACATTTGTGGGTTATATGACTATGTTCTTGTGGGAGAAAAGAGAGTTAGGGGGAGTTCTTTTGACAGAATAGAAACTAATGAACTTGAATCAGAGAGGGCCATGTCTGATGATTTCTAAAGGAAAATTCTTCTTCTGTTCCTCCAGCTTTCAACATAAAGCCCTTATGAAGCCCACAGATTTGGGAAGGGAAGAGTACAACAAAGACCATGAGGTTGACAAGCTGTCCCTGCAAAACTGCTCATTGTGACAAAATAGAGGAAACAAAGACCTGCTGGGTTCTCAGGATTAGGTGATGGAATTGGAACATGTAAAATAAGTAAAAAAAACTTCTTGTATATAACTAGACCCAAGTCAATGGAAAGAGTCAACCAAACCAGCAGTGTCTCTGAATTCATCCTCCTGGGACTCTCCTCCCGGCCTGAGGACCAGATGCCACTCTTTATCCTCTTCCTCACCATGTACCTCATCACAATAATAGGGAACCTGCTCATCATCCTGGCCATCCGCTCTGATCCCCACCTCCAGACCCCCATGTATTTCTTCTTGAGTTTCCTGTCGTTCACTGACATTTGCTTCACAACAACCATTGTCCCCAGGATGCTGGTCAACTTCTTGTCAGGGAAGACCATCCCCTATGCTGGGTGACTGACCCAGATGTATTTTATATATGCTTTGGGCAACACTGACAGCTGCCTTCTAGCAGTCATGGCCTTTGACCGCTATGTGGCCATCTGTGACCCCTTCCACTATGTCACCATCATGAGCCATCACTGCTGTGCCCTCCTGGTGGCCTTCTCCTGCTCATTGCCTCACCTCCACTCACTCCTACACACACTTCTGCTGAATCAGCTCAACTTCTGTGACTCTAATGTTATCCACCACTTTCTCTGCGACCTCAGCCCTCTGATGAAACTGTCCTGCTCCTCCACATTTGTCAATGAAATTGTGATAATGACTGAAGGGTCTGTTTTTGTGGTGACCCCCTTTCTATTCATTGCTTTCTCTTACACGCG